AAAATAGCCAAGTACGCGAATCCGGCGGCCATTTTGAAAATGAACATGCAGCGAGTCTACTTTAATTCGTAATTTCTATTTGCAGATAAAAACCCAGCGAGTCTATTTTAAATCGCGATTTTTATTCTCTGCGTAAAACTTCAAACGACCGATTAATTCGCCGCCAAAAAATAGCCAAGTATCCGGCGGCCATTTTGAAAATGCACATGCAGCGAGTGAAGACGAACCGCGAGGAAGATTAACGGGGGATTTTAACACAAGTTCTGACGTCAACCCGATGGGAATATAGATCCTCAACAAGGAGTCTGTTTTAAAAGTTTCGAGGAAATTGAGGGAAAGTTCGGTAAGCGTTGTCGAAGATTACGATGAAATACGGGAGTAGAGAGTGATGTATCGCGCGTCGGTGGTAATAGACATGCTAAGCGAGGTATAAAAAAAAAATAAGAAGAGGGTAAAAGAAGATCGCCTTAAAGGTTCCTTTCCTATTAAAATATACTTTTCGTGGTTATCAATGAGTCTGAGGATTTTTACGTGCCCTTGCTTAATTTTTACCAATAGAAATCCAGGTCTGTTTCATTCCGAATGAATGGCGACTCGGGCCAATTCTTCCCAGGGCTAACCTCGTTATTAGGTAACGAACAAATGGGCGTATCGCGTCCGGTCATTACGCATAATGATTAGTCGCAGCATTGATTGATCAATGCCCCGAGCAGAAGCATAAATCCCATTGTCGTCATAGCGGGCAACGTCACGTTCCGGTTATGCGTCATGGAGCCCCATGACGTTCACATAATCGTGGAGGATCCTTCCGAACTGTCTTGCCGAAAGAGATGACCCCGGACTAAACGGCGGACAGATTACAAAGTTCATTGTTTCGAGATGACCCAACCCCATGGAGTGTCTAGGGTCACCATGAAAGATATCAAGGATCGGTCCTGTACAAAAGTGAAGGCTTCTCGACAGCTTATCGCCTCGTGAACTCTCGAAGGGCCACCATGACCGAACTTTGGGGCTCCTTCCCACCGATCATGGGAGTAAAGGGAGAAAGAGGAAGAGAAAAAAAGGAATCACCCCGAATCGCTGAAATTCCCTATTCAGGGAGAACCGCATCCCCCGCGGATGGGAGAAATCCGATGTAGGTAATCTCGGAATGAGAAAAGAACGGCTCCCACGTCCTTCCATCGTGCTCGCCGAACCGCGAACATCTGAATTAAACTTATATCAAGAAGCAGACAGACCGGGAATAAGAGAGGCGAAACGACGAGTACCCACCACCAGACCGGTGCAACGCCATGGGGAGAGTACAAGTATGTACCTTTTCAATTATTTCGGCATAAGAGCACCTTAAGGTGAAGTGAAACACGTCGAGGAACTTGATCGACGTCGGTAAAGAAGATTTTTCTAAATGCCTACGTTGTCGACGTTGGTTTTTATATTGACAGCTGGGTCGAATTATATTGGGTATTGCACCAAATGGCATACTCCACCTGTCGCTTTCGTACAATATATATCAAGAAATCGAACATACAGATACAGATTTTTTTCATAATTAGAAGGCTTAGGAAAAAATAATTCTGTCTACAAATTCCTTGGATGAAATGATTAATTTACGATACAAAAATGGTTAAAATTAATCCTATGGTTTTTTCGGTACTTCTATTCGAACAAAGAAGCCAATATATTTATATGGATCGTTCATGAAATTAGTTAGTCCGTCAATTTGACGGATTTTATAGAGATAGGTATACCACATACAGATTTTGAAAATTAGAAGGCTTAGGAAAAAATAATTCTGTGTACAAATTCATTGGATGAAATGATTAATTTACGATAGAAAAATTATTAAATTAATGCTATGGTTTTTTCGGTATTTCTTTTCGAAGTTTGAATTCCGTCAAATTGACGGGTCCCGTAAACCTAGTGTTAAGAGTGTCAACTTTTATCCGAGTTTCATCTACAAGCCGAAATAATGAAGTCTTCTGAATTATTTCATAAATCGAATATCAGGGTCCCTTGAGAGTGTCGATTTTTTATCTCACCTGCGAGGTGATAAAAATAAAAAAGGGATGTACCTTAGCAATTCTTTCAGGAATAGAATATAAATGACAGGAGCGTCAGTTTGTTTCGTGGCCTGGTCTCACCTGCGAAGGTGGCGGACCGAAGGGGAGGCCAATCGCAGAAAACGAGAATCAGGGGAAGAATCGCGCGGATACAGGAACGACAAAACTCGCGGGTAACTTTGCCCGAGGAGGAGCGCATCAGGAAAACAATCATCCGAGTTTCCGGGATCCGTGGCCCGCGGCCATTCTTCCCGCGCGGTTCGATTTATGGCGCGAAGAGGAGAGCAAGATGGGCGCCCGGTGGATCCTCATTTTACTTTCAGAGTTCCGGCCAGGGTGCGTCGAGGTGCAGGATACACGTCGGGATATATCGAAGAAAGGGAACAACGGAGAAACCTGGGCGATATTTACGCGTCCCAGGATTTAATCCATCCCGACGGAGGATGGAACGAGTCGAGGAGTCGTCGAGTCGCAACTGGGTTAACTTTGGATTTTATCCCAGAAAAATATAAAACCCGAAGAAACATTTTCCCCAGTCAATGCAAAACACCAAGCCCTGCATATGTGCCCATAATTATGAAAGTGGTCTAAGTCAAAATTAAGAAAAGAAATGAGTTTATCAGTTATTTCACGCCATATTATTTCAAACGAAATTAATTCAATGTAATTTCGAAACAAAAAATATATGACTTAGACCACTTACATAATTATGGGCACATATAATTCGACATCCGGCAATTTCATCCAGACTCTCAAGCTAGAAATTTAATTTCCAGGATTTCAAATTCAACATCCAAGCCAATTACCATCGAGGTTCTGCAACTAACCTCATGCCAGTATTTAATTCGACATCAGAGATAATTTAATCCAGGCTTCCCAGGGAACTCCAAGGAAGAATGAAATTCCCAGGATATAATTCAACATCCAAGGGAATTTTATCCGGATTTTCCTGCCACCAGGAAGCCAAGACCCATCCAGGATTAAATTCGGCATCCAAAGCGTGACGTTCCAAGGTAGACCCTGGATCGTTAGGTCGGCATCCTGGGCAGGTATTTAATTCGACATCAGAGATAATTTAATCCAGGCTTCCCAGAGAACTCCAAGGAAGAATGAAATTCCCAGGATTGAATTCAACATCCAAGGGAATTTTATCCGGACTTTCCCGCCACCAGGAAGCCAAGACCCATCCGGGATTAAATTCGGCATCCAAAGCGTGACGTTCCAAGGTAGACCCTGGATCGTTAGGTCGGCATCCTGGGGAGGTCCTTGCAGATTTTCTGCCCGGCTAAGCACGCCAATGAGAGCATCGAGAGGTCGCATAATCGAGGAGCACCGTGCAACCGGGAATTACGCTCGGCGGGAATGGAAGAGGAGGTGGCGGCCCGAAGGCAACAAATGGAAGTCGGACTCCTAATTAAAACCGGATGACCCGCGGTAATGGCGGCACGCAAACGCCGAAGGAGGACATCATCGACCCGGTTTTCCCGCGAGAGGAGGACCCGGTGATTGGTCCTCTCTCAGGACCGATTCCAGGGCGCCGCCACTACCTCGACATCGGTTTAATTGCCGCCTAAACGGCGGCAAGGTCCCCTTTCCGGGTGTTTCCCCCGGCGATCCGGTGTAAATCCGGCCAGTTATTGAGACCCGGAAGCGCCGACTTCCGTCCCGACCGCGAGTCCATCGGCGCCGCCACTGTTGGCAATCCTCGGGATAGCGGTTGGAAAATCCGCCCTCTTCGGGAGCCAGCCTCCTCCTGAGATCGATCCCGAGGTCGCTTCGTCTCCCAGGGCTGAGAGATTCGTACAATTATCGGCGCTAATGCCCCTAATATGTCCGGACTTCCGGGGCCCGATTTGCCGCGGAACCGCGGGCAAGGTTCCGCGGATTTGTCCGCCAATAATGGCCTTAACGATCGGCGATAATGATGGCAAACGGAATGACGACAGAAGGGATTCAAACGCCGGGGATTAATAGAATTCTATGCCGCGGCGTTTCAGCTCGGGATGTATCCCGGCTCTGCCCGGGATCGGCCGGGGAATTAGGGCGACGATCGCTGCGCCGTGGGGCGAGCTCTACCGGCTAAATACCCGCCGCGAAATTTCCATCGGGGAATTCTGTAATGACGCGTGAACACCGGCTGAACATCGACGGGAAAAAAGTGGCGGCTTTGTCTCTGCGAGTGATCACGTTAAACCTAACCTCAAAGCGACGGCTCTCCTCGGGGAGAGCCGAACGCCCTGTACAAATTCCATCTCCCCGATAAAGTGTAAAAATAATATACGCGTTATTAACCCAACACTAATTACTTCTGACTTTTTCGGGAAGCGTTCCACGCGCGACTCCATACGAGATAATTAAACTTTCCAACTTGGCTCCTCTTTTTGTCGGCCCACTCGGAGTTATCCGAGCACGGCCGGGCGTTTCAAAAGCCGAGCCTCGACGCAATGCAAAAGACAGCTCGTAATGTGTTTAATTTGCGTGCCGGCTCTTTCTCGACACTAAGGACAGGGGCGTTTCGCTCGATTTTTTCGAGATTACGCCTTTCTACCCGGTTTTCCAAAACCCGGGAGGACCGACTCGACGTCAATCGACAAGGACCGCTTGGGGAAAAAAAAAAAAAGAACGACGAGGACAGGATGCCGCCCCGGGATTTTTGGTTCTTTCGGTTCTAGGAGTCCTAAAATAATGAGGAAACCAGCCGGTTCATCCGGGACCAAAGGATTAGAGCTTAATCCGGTTTAATTAAACCCTCTTTCGATCGCGTCCACCTCGGAGGCGCGCAAATGAGACTCGGATTGAGTATCTCAGATTTGTCCTCCAGGACATCTTGTGTCCTTAAAATTGTCCTAAAAAAGCTAGTGATCCGACTGGGGAGGTATTTTGTAGAAGGTGGTGTGTTTCTTTTGTTTTTAAATCAATGAAAAGTCGCATTAGACTCACCTAAGCCAGTGCCTCTTGGTGACCGGCGTGTGGCAGCAAATGGCGTCGTATTGGTCGGCGATCCAGACTATGAGGATGACGTAGAAGGCCGTGGTGGTGTCGTTGAAGAACTCCGACATGATCGCCTCCATGCCTGCGCAAAGACGAGCAAGAGTTATCAATTAAAGCCTCCTCCCCTCGTCGCCTGATTTTCCGGGGGGGTGCCGCCATCTTGGGCGTGGGAGGCGCCTCCGTAATTTCTCAGCATAAGATTCTCATTTCTCTTCTTCCTCATCTCGTTGGGTTACTTCCCCAGCCGGGGGGAGGGCGAGAGAGAAAGAGGTGACAAATGGTCGCGCGCTGTTAAGTTTATTTGATAGAAATTCCCCTATTCCTAACCTCGACTCCCCTCGCTACCTACCCCATCGAGTAACCTTAAGACTTCGCCCTTGCAGCTGCATTTTCTGCCAATTTTTCACGTTACAGGAGCATCGCTTCGCGATAAGACGTCGAGCCTCCCCGAAAATCCAAGATGGCGGCCAGGCGGCTCATCGAGGAGCCGCACCGAAAACGTGTCGTATTAACGGTTCAACCAGCGCAAACGAGTGCCAGGGGCTGGATCAAGGATCCTTCCTCCCTGCTGGAGGTTTCCACCGGTCCGAAAATTCCCGCCGGTCGAATTTCAGCGGTTAAATGAATTCCGAAACATCGAGCCGGGGCCGGTTAGGCGGGCTCGCCCGCGCCGCCATTTTTCCCGGCTCGCGCTCGGGGCGAATATCCATTGCTCGTCCTATTAATCGAATAGTTTCCGCGCAATTAAATCGCGCGACCCCTTCCGCGCGCGTTTCCGGCGGGGCCGCGTGAGAATTTAACGCCGGTACACGCCATTATGTCGATAAAATGGAGAGCACGGGCCACGCGGTCCGGCACTCTCGGCCCGGGAGGGTGGCCCCCAAGAAATATCGACCGGGCGCGGCCATAATTCCGAAAATGTTCCGCGGTAATTCCCCGGCAGGCGTCCCGGCCACGAGGTGCACCAACGGGTCCCCTCCTACCTTTTTATCCTCGATCCTGGAAAATTGGCGGGCGTAAAGTAAAGGGAGAGTCGTTAGCGGCGGCCGCCTTTTCGCGGCCCCGATTATCTCCGGCGGTCTCCATAATTCCGAGTATAAGCATCCGGACTTACAGACCCGACTCTGATCCCGGAATTAAGGGGGCGACGCGAAACCGCGGATGCAGCACTCCCGAGGGGATAATTAACCCCCGAGTTTTCGGGAGGGAAAACCCCTCCGAGAAGACGCGGAGAAAAGGCGGGAAGGTAAGCCTCGATCGCTCGACGGGAGGAACAAGATGGCGGCGCACCGGAAGGGACGCCGGGAGGAAATCCGACGAGAAGTCGCACAGTCCGCTGGCGTGCGGCCTAATGAATTGTAACGATCGCGGAAACCGCGGGGGACCGACAGGAATAATAAAACCCTTCCAGGGAGCGCCGAGCCAGTCACGACAAATGGAACTAAGAGGAATGTATCGCTAAACGTGAATAATGGCTACAGCTGATCCACCCTTCCAGCATTGGGGGCGCGTTAACACGAGATCGCTTCGAGGTGATTGAAAAAGGGGGAAAAAAAAAGAATAATTAATCGACCCGAAGCGTCCAGTTCTTAACATGAATCCTATACCTCAACACTGAGAAACAAAATTATCATCGAACCGAAGAAATATCTTCTTCATTCCAAAGAATAATTTTCCCTCGGAAATTAATTCTCATAACCTCGAATAAAATGTTCCATCGAATTTATTCCAGTTTATTTGAGTGACTTAATTCCGTGAGATAAACGAATATTTTTTCGCACGCCGTTCAACGATTTCTTTCGTTCGATGAGATTTCATCTCAGGGCTATCGCGAGACGTCAACTATACCTCAACACTGAGAAATAAAATTATCATCGAACCGAAGAAATATCTTCTTCGTTCCAAAGAATAATTATCCCTCTGAAATTAATTCCCATAACCCCGAATAAATTGTTCCATCGAATTTATTCCAGTTTATTTGAGTGACTTAATTATTTCGTTAGTTAAACGAATATTTTTTCGTACGCCGTTCAACGATTTCTTTGGTTCGATGAGATTTCATCTCAGGGCTATCGCGAGACGTCAACTATACCTCAACACTGACAAGCAAGGTACCTGAGGTGTCCCCCTCCGATTTTGTTCATTTTTAAATATGTTACAGAGGACTAAAATCTAAGGGACCCGTGTTTTTTTTTATCGGCGGATAAACACTTTTAGGGGGTGAAATCAGGCTTCAAAGTTGTCCGTGCAAGGGGGTGAGTTGGCTGTTTCATATAGAGGCACTCGACCGATTTTCATGAAACAACCGTCAAAATGTAGGGAATGAAGAATTATGAAATGTGCATTTGGAATTTTTCGAAAAAATTCATTTTTAAGGGGTGAGCCACCCCTTTGAATACTTCTTTTACCCCTTGAGCGAGCAGTAATAGTTCTCCAAATTCTACGGATACCGCGAGCTCCCATTTTCTTCTTCCTTCGGTCCCGAGGAATCCCCGGGATATCCTTCACCGCGGAATCGTTAGCGAGAGTTCAACCCGACGGGGAGGATGGACGAGCCCACGACTAAGGGCGCGACGTCGGCTAATTAGTTTCTTGATCGGACACACCGCCTTAACGCAACTCAAACAGCAAGGACACCAGCTAGAATGCTAATGAACAACTTGGCCCCCCATGTTCCGGCAGCGTCGCGACGCCCGAAGACCGCGGACGTGACGTCGCGGGGAACGAAGCTCGTTATTCATTTTATTTTCTCACCACTTCCGGGGTTAATAAACAACGACGGCCGGTTGCATCGATTTTGCATTACACGATTCCGGGCCGGACTCGTTTGGGACTGGCCAGTGATTGTCCATTCGTCACTGCTCGCTCCGCCCGTGTTTTACGGGCTCTGACACCTGACAATTCCGCCATGAAAGCCGGCCAAACGACCGGGTGCTTATCCGAATATCGCCGGGCAGGGTCGTTTTCCCCCGACGCTGACCTAAAAGTGAGATCCTAACCTAAAACCGGAGCATTAACCCATAAAGACGCAAACCAAGCAAGACAGCGACAAACAAGGTCCCGATAGCGTTTTTTATGGATAAAAACACCGTTTAACGTACAATCGACGGAGTGTCCTGTGGGTTATACTTAATAGTCTTTTTATGAATAAAAATGGGGTATAAACGTAAAATCGACGGAGTGTTCTGCGGATTACACTTAATAGTCCTCGGGAATCAGGACGAAGGGTGGCCAGATCCTCTTCGTCCTGTTTTATTCCCGTTTCGGATCGTCGAGGAGGCCGATTTAGGCCGGCGGGTCCGTTCGCATGAATCAGGAAGAGCGGCCCGCAAGATGGCGCAACGGTCGGATAATGCACCCGTTTAAATGCATACTAGTCGGGCATTCCTTCACCACGGCTAAGCCAGGACCCCGTCGAGTGCTCGGTCCAGCCATTTAGGACTCTCGTAAGGACGTTAAAATTCCCCCCGGAACGACGGTCGCCCGATAATCTTGCCTCTGCTGAAAACGCGCGAAAATCCTTCCCGGGAAACCACCTTCCCCGGCCTCCCCTTCGCCCCCGCAGACGCCCCACCCAGGGAAATCCGAGGAAATCCGCAAAACTCGCGACCCGCGCACGCGACCTCGACGGAAAGAGACTTGTACTCTCCTGGAAAAAAAAAGAAAAAAAAAAGAAAATTACACTGGACGCACGCGAGCAACTGCAGGTGTTAAAACAGCAGCTAAGCCAGGGGTAGGAACGAGTTAAGTCACCGAGGATTTTTTTGAGAATTAAAAAAATCAAGAAAATCTAAAATTTCAGAAATATCGGAATTAAGGCCACGTCAAAGTCTCGTTTACGACACTCTCCTCCTAACTGGGTGTAATGAATCGTTTGGAATTTGTTATTAAATTTTTTCTTAGACATTTTAATGATTGTTTGTAAAACATGAAATTTCATGGCCTTCCTTATAGCCTCCATGTTCATAGGGTAATATTGAAACTGCTCGGTATGTCTCGAGAAAAGTTTCAGGAATTGACATCTTAGGTGTAACTATCACATCCCCTTAAGGGTGAAAGATGTATCTGGAGCAATTGGGCGAGTTATGGAGTATCCGGGGCGAGGTGGAGGTGCGGCTGCAGCTGCACCGTCATCGCGACACCCTGGGTCTTCCCGTGATCCCGCAAACCCAATTGTCGGCGGTTTCCCTCGGTGACTGTCACCGAATTACGGGGGTCCGAGCAATTTTCCGAGTGGCCGCGCGGGGTGTCGAATTTTGCGCCCATATTCATAACTGATTCGCGGTCGGTCGGGATTGATGAAGTATGACGAGAGACGCGTAGATCGCCGGTAAGAGCGAGAGGGAATGCTCTGGTCGACGATCGATCACGCGTAAACGGCCCTTCGTGTACGCGATTCCAGTTTTACGATCCTCCCGATGCACCTATCGCTGCCCTCCTGCTCCGGGTGAGGACAGGTAAAAAATAAAAAAAAATGAAAAAAAACCTGCAAAGGGATTTCTCGTTCGAAAATTGCAAATCGCGTAACAATCGCCTCTCTCAAGATACACACATTCCAATTTCGCATCTACAAAAATGCTCCCCTGTAACTGTATACGAAAATGTAGTTTTTTATCAGCAGTCGAAATAAATCGCGGTTTGTATGTCACTAGCGAAAACGATAATTTCTTCTTTTTTTTTACTATTATCTACCGAAGTAATGCAGTCACCACTTATTTATCGAGGTGCTGAGAATTGCATTAGTGGTAAGAGTAATTTAGGAATTGAATTATTGAATTATTATTCTATTGGGGGATATAGATCGCGAGATTTACGGGAAGACCTGACCATTCAATGGCGACGGACGAGGTCGTTTCTGTCATCCTGCGAATCAGCCTCCCTGAAAACTGTCGAAATCATTCCCGACCGAGTTGGAACTCGATTACCCTGTGAATCCGCGACGTCACCGCGTCCCTATCAAAACCTGCATAGACTATGCAGAGAGGAGCGAACTTTGGTGCGAAACCGACCGCGAAAAGACGTGACGTACGGCGCGAATGCGATTTGGGAGCACCGACCACGGAGTAACTTTTCAGACGAGCA